GGGGATGTCGTCCTCCAGGCCTGGTGGGTCAGGATGTGCTCCATTCTCTCTTCCTTCCCCTAAGTGCTCCCATTTGCTCTGGTCAGACATGCCCCACCCCCTAGCTGCAGCTTCCTTGCTGTCCTCTCGAGTAAATTCTTCAGGGGAGAGGGCCTGTTGTCCACGTAGCTGGCATGGGGGCTGAGCCCTCAGGCCCCTCCACTGGCTCCGCACTTCTTACCAACAAGCTGCATTCTTCTGGCACTGGCTTTAAATCTGGTCCCTCTTTCCCTGTGGAGACACAAACACCACCCTTCCTTTGAGTGGTCAGTGCCCTATTCCCCGTCACATAACCCTTTTTTTTTTTTTTCCTTTCCCCATTCCTCCCCCCCACCCTCCTTTGTGGTTGGCTACCCTATTTAGCCCTGGATTTGGTCTGGCACCTGCCATACTACCTGACCTTTACCCCTAGAGTTTTTGTATACTACCATAGCTTTTTCCCTGTGCCCCTTTTGCATTTACCTTTCTGTTCTTTCTTATATATATATATATAAATAAACTTACCTCAGCGGACTCATGTTATACTTGTCCTTTTGTGCTTGGCTTACTTCACTTAGCATTATTTCCTCCAGTTCTTCCCATGCGGTGATATGCTTCGTGTGTTCATCGCTGCTTTTTAGTGATGCATGGTTCTCCATTGTATGTCCATCTCATTTTTGACGACTTCCAGTTTTCCTGGATTCGTACTTGGCACATTCCATGTTCCGATTGTTAGCGCATTTTTGTATGTGTTTCCTTGCCCCTGAGTTGTGCCCCGTCAGCAAATGAAGATCCCGAGGTGCTACTCCCACAAGCTGTGCTCCATGCAGGTCACCATGGTGGACTATCCTCCCAAACGTCAGCTCCTCCTCGGTCAGATTTTGAGTGCCCTTTAACCCCTGGGCCCATCTTCCGGCACCATCTTCGGCAATATCTGCTTCCATTCACTAGTCCTTCAGTGTCGACAACATTTCAAAGTCGTGAACAAAATTGTCAGTGACTCCTTCCTCCAAAGTCGGAGGCGAAGTTCTTCTTTGTCCGTTCTTAGTTTGGAAGCTCCGATGAACTTGTTCACTTTGAGTGACTCTTTTAGCATTGAGATACCGGTGACATAGCTTCCAGGGTCACAACACGCAAGTAACTGCAGCATGACAAGCTGAAGGACAAGTGGTGGCTTTAGAACTTAACCAAGTTGAAAGTGAGGAGTTTGGTATATGTGAAACTACGTATTATTCCCGATTTTTTAAACTTTATAACCTTTTTCTTCATCTGTAGATTTGACTCCACTCTTGGTATTTACTTGTAGGTATTCTAAAAAAATAGCAAATAGGAAATGAAACTAATTATACACCTTTAATATGTCTAAGCAGAACTATACTAAAAAACTACTCAATAATCTCTTGTGATTTATTTTTGGATATTGCATCATCCCCCCCCACAAAAATTTAATAAACTCACAAAAGACCCTAACATTACTTCTATTTGAAAGCATTCATCTGTGACCCATATGTCAAAGTTAATGTGAATTCCTGCCTAGCTTTTGTCCAAAGGACATCTTTACAGAACCAAGTTAGCTATATTTGTGAATGTGTTTTAGAACTGCTTCTGTTTTAGTTTACCGAATGAAACAAAATAAGATATAAAAAATTAAAGATTATCTAATAAGTATCTTTCAAAAGAAATATAAGAGTACACATATTTCAAATTGAGATGATGCAATCTGTTTACCATCTGTGTCCTATACTCCTACCGCAGCTCCTGAACCCCAGAAGCACGAATTCAGGCCTTAAGCATCCTTATACCCTAATCACTCAATCTAGGGTTGGCAAGATACTTCTCTCTTTCGGGACCGAAAAAGCTTTTTGTTGATATATTCATGTACATTTTATTTAGGAATATAAAGAGTTCTATACTTTTTGAACTGTCTCAAGTTTGTTCAAAAATCTCGCATTGAAGTATATTTGATGACATTTGTTTTAAAGTTTGAAACTTTTCCGAGGATTTTTGTTGTTACTACTACTATAAAACCGATGACCAGATCTTTCCTTCAAAGCATGGGGGTGGTATGTGGCACGCCCCCTTAGTGATTGGTATGATTTTGGTGTTTTAAAGGCTCTTGACCTGGCGCCCCACCTCTGGAGAAACTGCTCCCCCATCACCATCTCCTGTGATTGAAAAACAATTGGTAAGTCTTAATAAATCATATTTTAAATTATTTACCAATTTGTGATAAGCCAAGTTCTGATATATGAGCCCAGCTCTTTTGAAAAGATGGTGTACATTTGCTGTCCTGTACTTGCAGGTTAAAGTCGACAGTAGTAAATTCCCTTGTGGCAAAAAGAAAAAAATCTCTTTAATGCATGGAGGGTCATTTAAAAAATTTTTTTAATCATGTTAGTGGGGGCTCATGCAACTCTGATCACAGTCCATACATCCATCCATCATGTCACGCACATTTAGACATTTGTTGCCATTATCATTCTCAAAACATTTGCTTTCTACTTGAGCCCTTGCTATCAGCTCCTCTTTTTTCCCTCCCTCCCCCACCTCCCACCCAGTTATTTTAAATGATATTTTTATGTAAATAAATGGTCTAGACATAGAGGACAGTGATGTCAAGGGTTGTGGCACAACAGATTGTGTGACTGCCTATTTTACCTTTTTATTTACACATACTTTCACTTTAAAGAATACATTTTAAAATTCTGTTTACGTCACCAACTTCTCCAAATATTACAATTCTGTCACATATACTTTAACATTCTATACATACACACATTTTATCCGAATTCTTGTAAAATTATTTCCCAAAGATTTCAATATTTAAAAGATAATTAAGCAAGGAAAATGTCATCTCCACATCCATGAGCACAAAACCAAGATGAATTACTGTTCAAGGTCACACTGCTTGTAAGTTCTAGAGCCAGATTCTAGTGTCTCACGGTGTTGTGTAACTGCTGGATTCCAGAACCCAGCTTCCCACTGTGGTCCTACAGTCCTTCCCAGTCTCTCTACTGGGCTGTCAGCCTCAGCCTCCCACCCTTATGATGGCTTTTCTGTACCTGGTTTCTCAGGTGACAGAAATCTTTCCCTAAACTCACAGCTGCAAAGCCTCCCTGGACTCACCCTGCATAAAATTTGAGAAATCTCTCCCCTTTCAGCCAAGCATGTGTTCAGTTAGGTTTTCATGACCACTCATGGGTTTTTGCAACTAGTTTTTGTCATGCACCATACTGATCTATTGCTCTTGGATCATAATAGATCTGCACCCAACAAGAGTTGGACTTTTCTTTTGAAGACTATCAGCTCTTTTATCCCTGTGCATTTAGTTGTTGTTAGTTGCCCTCCAGGGGCACTCCAATTATGGTGACCTTGTATATACAGAGCACTTGACCCTCTGAGGAACAAACCATTGCATGGGTGCAAATTCTTGGATATGGCATTTTAAATCTTGTTCTCATTGGATATGATGATCTCAATTTATAGAATGTCTTTTCAATAGGGACATAGTTTTGTACTCGTTTTTTATGTAAACTAATAGTGTAGAAAATGTTTTCATCTTTAAACTTACAATGATTTTTGTTTTATCTTATTAGGATACACTATCACAGAAATCTGTAGATATTCATGATTCTGTTCAACCAAAGTCTACGGATCATAGACAGCTGACTCCAGTGGCTTCTGTCTCTACGATGAATGAAGAGGTCAGCAAAATTAAACCTACATCAAGTGAGTTATTTCTCTAAATAAGAATGGTATGTTGTTTTAATTATGAAAATGCATATCCCATACTACAGTGCTAATATTTCGCCTCTCCTATGTTTTATTCACATGGGAAAGGGATGAAATAATTGGTTTTACTTTATACAAACATGTAATTGTTACTCATTTTTTACCGCATTTGCCTCAATGGGACATTGCTGAGAAACAAAGGCTATCTTGCTCTGCTAAGAGATCAGGTGCTGCTGTTCTCACACCTGGAACAGCAGCTGCTGCTCACGACATTCAGCTAATGTTTATGTGAAGCACATGCCTCTTCTTTCGCCATTACCTTGTACATATCAGCCACACTTTCTCTGCTAAGGTGGGGCATAAAAGTCCTGCCTTTCCCCATATACAAGGGAAACTGGTGATAGGCCACAACTTTCTGAACAGGAGCACCCAGCAAAGTTTCTGCCCAACTCAGCCTGCTGAACTCATTTTTTCCCCACTCCCCAATGATGCTCACCACCACTACCCAATATATTCAGAGGAACCCATGGACCACCTTTGCATTTTGCTCACCCTCCCTGGGTCTCTTCACAAAAAGGACCGTTTCTTTTGCTGAAGAAGAAATGACTACATTTTTCCTAAAGGAGAACAAGACCGCTTTAAGGACTACGAGGGGGTACTGTATTTAATTTTTGTTTTTTTTAACAAAACAACCTTATCACTTACAAAGTACTCTCCATTACACTTAATACATTTGTCAAATCTGCGACTCCATTCTTGGAAACATTTTCAAACTCATCTGTTTGGATGGCTGACAGCACCTCCCTCATTTTTTGCTTCCCCTCTTCTTTGTTGGTCAAATCACTGTCCTTTCATGTCCCTCTGCATTCGCGGAAACAAAAAGAAGTCACATGGAACAAGGTCAGGTGAGTAAGGTGTGTGGGGCAGGAGAGGCATGCTGGGTTTTTTTGCCAGAAACTGGCGCACTGAGATGACTGGATGAACAGGTTTATTGTTGTGGTGGCAAAACCAGTCCTTCATCTGCCACAAACCAGGCCTTTTTTGACGCACACTGTTAGGCAGTCTTTTCAGAACCTCTAAATAGAAAGCTTGATTAACAGTCTACCTGCTGGAATGAAATCCATATACACTACGAGTCAGTATTTTCACCTATTCGGGAAGTTGCCAGACTTCCAGAATGAGGTTTGTCATTGTATTAGTCTAGGTACTTTGGAGAAACAAATCCACGGCGACTCACGTATAAGAGAGAGTTTTATGTAAAGAAAATGTGCATCACGAAAACATCCCAACCCTTTT